ATTGTCTTGAAAAATAATGTTATCTAGAAAGATGGCTCTGTCCAAAAGATCACCGAGATCCCAGATGCGGGAAATATGACCACCCCTCGCTTTAGTTTCAAAAAGGTGTCAATTTACAGATGTGTCTAAATTTTTCTACATCATTGAACTAGAACTGTTTGGGAGATCAACCAGAAAATTATTGTTGACATGGCTGTCGATCGTGGCTGCTACATGGATCAAAACCAGAGCCTTAATATCAACATGGATTTGTATAACTTCACTGCACTTCCACGCCTGGTCCATGGTTTGCCTGTCGATTTAGATACTGTTTTAGCACTATGTGATTTTACTAAAAATTTAGCAGTCAGTGTTGAACAGGTCGTTACATCGCCACGCTTGAGCGAGTCACATGACAAGGAGTTCAATCAAAGCTCTCTCTATATGTGGTCTACTATAAAATATATTACTATACCATAATAGAATCAAATAGATTGGTTATCCTGTGTTATCATTATGCCGTGCTTTTAGTATATTGTAAATCTTGCTTTGTACCGAATCTTTATGCAAATCGATTATCGTGGGCTACCACCGTGCCATTCTCTTGGAATGTAATGAATCTTGGTGCAAATCGGTTATCCTGTCAAATCTTGATGCTTTTTTACTTAACCACTATTATTATAAATATTTTACTATGCACTGTATTTTGATGCATTCTGTTGAACCAGCTCCTTCTATGAGAGACGCTTGACCATTGCCTTACACAGGCACTACGCGTTGCGCTTTCTGATGTAAATCACTTCCTGGACAGGCGGCACACATCCTGATGCAAATCAGTTCCTGGACACCCAACTTGAGATCAATTATCCCGTAGGTTGACTATACCTTGGTTTTAGTAGTCTTTAATGCTTTTGCTCTATACTTCTGACTACTATTTCTAACTTAGCTTAATAGCCCTTCTGGGCTCAACTGTATTAAAAAATATGGCTTACAATTGTTGTTCTGGATTATGTTGTCCCTTCTGCGTTGTCGGATGCTTTACCTTGGCAGCATGGTTTAAATTCCTTGCTTTCTCCATGTGAATTTTCCAAAAGGCTTCTCTATTTAAGGAACCAATTTTGCTCTTTGATGTTGCATCGACCAATGCTCGGTACCTAATATAACTAAAAGTCGGTTACCGGGTCAATACACCTTATAAAAATTATGAATGGGCAATATGTGGCCATCTAGAGTAGAATTTGGTTTATTGATTGATACAAGGGTCAAATTAGTCTTTTCTCAAGGTAATCACCACTGTTTTGTTTTTAGGCTTATGTGCCTGATTTTTTTAGGATCTCCGTGTCAAGGTGGGGATATATCAAAGTAATGCCATGTTCTAATTATAAATGAAGAGAAAGTTAAGAACTTAGTAATTACATAGTAATCATGGCTAGAGCATAGAGGTCAGAGATGTCAAATGATTTATTAAAAAATTGTATTTCCAACAACACATTGGATCACATCGGGTATGCATTTTTTGTAGAATATAAGTTAGGTTTAGAACTTTTTACCACGACAACTAGAGTAAATCCATCGTATATATTCAGTAACGTATATATTTAGATATTCATGATGTTGCATAAGCATACTTCAGTCGCCTGGGAGCACTAGCTGCTGGCGTATATATGTATTCCTTGGTTCTAACAAGATGCATGCCAATCTTAGAAAATATAGTAAGTACCTATCCTGAAATTTATGACTCGCGTGAGGTGACTATTTGTAGATAACTATTGTACTTGCATAGCTGGTTGATTTATTTGATTATAATCAAACCAAACTATTGTAGTTTTAAGATCGTGGTTATTCAAATGAAAAATGATCAAAGAAATACATGTACAGAGTCACATCTCTTGAGATCATGATTAGGCATGCAATTACTCCTTCAAATTATTGTGATATTGTATATTGCTCTTTAGTCTAATAAATTATGTAATGTGGTGCTCCACCTCCTTCTCTCTTCTTGCCAGGACATATACTCTGTCGGATTGCATCTATGTTCTAAAATCTTTTCCAGACCTAATCAATATGTGAAAGTTTAGTGAGGGGCGCCCCAGTTTACTCACGCTGCTCCAGGTTCACATCTCTCTCTCTCTCTCTCT